GATTGTATAACTTGTTTTCGTTGACGAATAGCTTTTTGTTCACGTATGTTTTCTTCTATTTCTTGTCTTTTTATACTAAGAGTTTTATTTACTCTGTATTAAAAGAATTTTCATTTTTTAAATAATTAGTTAGAAAAATAAGTACATATTTACCATTATGTGTTGTTATGGATTTATCAAAACGAACCTGAATAAAAGTTCATTTTAGATGTTTATTGTTGTTTTTCCTTAAGAATTATTCCACGTTATTCACGATTGACCCCCGCTCAAACGAGAGTTTTATATATATATTATAGGGTCAAGTCTTTGATGAATTGCTATGCAAGCCGTTCGAAAAATGATTATTTCGTTTTTGAAATATTGAAATTTTGTTTGAGGTTACTATCGTCAAGAACAGTATATTTTTCTGAACATCTTCACCAAAATCGTGATCGAGATAGAAGTTGTGGGTGTGGGTGAAAGAGTAGCTATACCTACACTCAAATCCACACCCACACCCATCCACACTCACACCCCACACCAACTATCATAGAAATAATACCAAAAAGAGAAGAAAAAGAAATTTAAATAGAAAAATTGATGCATTACTTTACAACGTCTGAAGAAGACAACTTCGATTGTCGAAATATCGCATCATTATTTTAGTCGAAGAATTATTATTTAAATATTATAATTAATTAACATTTATTTTATTATATTCTATTTTAGGTTTTGAATAAAGTCGTCTAAAAGGTATGATGGGAAAAGGAAGAGAGGGTGTGAGTGGAGTGTGGATCTTAGGATAGAAAAAAACCACACTCACATCCACATCCACACCCTCATGCTGATACTGATGATGGGTCGGTTGAACCCGAAAGCTCTATTAAAAAGATCCAACTATTATATAATTAATAGAAGTTAACTTCGAGTATTATTTTATTTTATTTAAATATATTATATATACAAGTCCTATTATATTATCATTATATATCATATCACTATTATAGATTGTTTGAAGTTTCACTTATATTTTTTTTCTGACAAGTGTTTCGTTAATCATTGGAATAATTGTTAATAAGATTGAAAGGAAAAACTTTTTCACTCAATATCAAAAACTTGTTGATTCACAGGTGATAAGAACAAATCCTCATCATTTCAAGACTGAATTAACTTTGTTTTTGTGCAATAATTCATTTTCCTATCGATATGGTTCTAAGTAGAGTAGTTCGTCTACATACATTCATAGTCATACCTAATCGCTTGTGAAAATTATATGAATGGAAATGTTGGTGATTTTAACCATAGTTTTTGTAAATATGGTTGCTCCGCAGTCGAATCATCTAGTTGAGAAAGAAGAACGATTAAACGATTTCGACATTGCTAATCTGAATTTATCAAGTCAATGTTACTCGATAATGAGAAAAAAAAGCTCACAAATGTTTGACAGAGCAATGCAAAGAATTTGAAAAAATATATTGACGAGAGTCTGTACATCACATTAATTTATTGATATAAAATGATAAGAAAATATGCACTGATTAGATGAATGATCAACAGTTTTCTTTTCAAGAAATTGCCTTGTAGATTTGAACTATTGAGGCTTCATGAAAAATTTTTCATAAGACAATTCACTCTCTTAGTAATAAATATTCAGGTTCAAATGAAAAATGAACATTCTGAAAGATACTGTTTATATGACTAAAAGAATCTTGAATCGTTCAACTTCAATTGATTTCGAAAGAACAATGAATAGGTTTTTCTTTGATGAAAAGAAGTAATCACTGGAAACAATTGAATTCACCTTGTTTCTCACTTAAAATTAAACATACATAGGATTTTCACGCTAATACTCTACTTCAATATTTGTTTTATTAGTGACTTTTCTAGAACCGTTATAAGAGTAAAGAGTACATACATTCAAACAACCAGACTCTTTTTAGAAGTTAATATTCTGATATCGATAAATTTTGTTGTTTGAGAAAGAAATTCATTAGTCGAATAGTTATTGTTTTAAATCAGTTTCAATATCATTCATTATATCAGATGTTATATTTAACAAATAAAGATTTTTTATTGAAAAAATTTCATCAGATCTTATAAATCATTTAGATATGTTCATCTAAAATAATTATTTTATTAAAAAAAAAAAAAAAGAAAAGAAGAAGAAGAATTAAAATGAAATGTTTTCTTGAATATTAAATTTGTAAACGACTTTCTTCATTAAGAATAGTTAATTTATTCGATGATTCAATATGAATATCGAGATTTTTAAGCTAAATTAAGTAGAATAATATAAAATCATTCAATAAATTGAAACAGAAAAATTACTTCGCTAGTATATGCATTAACATCATGTTGAATTTGCATACGAATTTTATTATCATCTGTCAATGCAGCTGTTGATGATGTTGTCATACTTTGTGACATAGTTGATAAAGCTTTAGACGATTCACGAACACGTCTTAAACGTTGAATACTATCTTCCATTTTTCGAACCGATGATAAGATCTCTGAACATAATTCATAATAACTAAAATTATTAACAAACTATACATATTTCAAAGATAAATAATGAAATGAAATACTTTTTAGTAATTTCTTCCATGGCAATTGTTTGAAATTGTTTACATTCATCTTCAGTTAATACACTACCACTATAATCATTAGAAAATGCTTGTAAATGACGAAATGTTGCAATAATACTATTTGATGGTTTACTAGGTGCCTAAATTAAATAAATATTTCTTTTTTTTTATGTATTTCAAGAATCGATACATGCAATAAAACAAATTTTTGTAGAAACAAAGAACAAATTGACTGAACTACTCTCGAAATACTATTAAGATCATTCTGAAAGATAAAATATCAATGTA